ACCCTTGCTTAAGAACAGCAAAACTGTGAAAGTATCTTCAAGGGCCCCATTAATACGATAGAGAAGTTCACATTAGAAATGCATGCTTTGATCTAACCCACAAATTTGTTGGGAAAGCCTTTTTGAATCAATCTAGCAATTAAAAATTCACTGGACATGGTATCGAAGGCTTTCTGAATGTCTAATTTGGCCCATAAGTACTTAGTTAATTTCCTAACACTAGTGAGAGATAGCAGCTCTTGTGCAAGTAATATATTGTCGGTAGAAATCCTAGACTTGATAAATCCTGATTGGTTATCTTTCACAATCATAGGCATAATGTGTTTTAATATGTTGGCAAGAACCTTAGCAATAATTTTGTAGAGAGTGTTACACAAAGCTATCGGCCTCAAATCATATAGTGACTATGCATTTTTCTTTTTAGGAATGAGCTCAAGTGTCGTAGCTTTGACACTACTAGGTATATATCCTTTTAAAAAGAAAGATCTAGCTGCTATGCAAACCATAGGACCAATAATGTGCCAACCTGATTTATAAAAGTGAAAGTTAAAACCATCCGGTCCCGAGTAGATGAAGAAGATCCCAAGAAGACAACCTTTTTAATCTCCTCATCATAAACATGACCAGTGATAATATTGTATTGACTTATAGGAAAAGCTACACCAATAGGAAATAAAGTCACATCTATATTGGGAGGAGGAGTAGGATTGTAAATAGTTTGGAAGTGTTGAATGATGTTATTAATGAAAACATGTTTATCAGGACTAGAAGAGGTAGAGAGCAAACTAGCAGCTGCATTGCATCTACCTTGCCTTCCTCTTACTTTAGAGTAGAGAAATTTCAAATATTCGTCACCATTTTTAAGCCATTTGACTTTATCTCTTTGGATAGTCTAGGATGTAAGGATCCTAGTGAATTCAAATATTTTAAAATTGATGTCTTTAAGAGTGACATTTAAAGATTGGTCCTTTGGATTAACATGAAGCTTCCCCATATAGTCAATTTACAGAGAATGTAATTTGTCTAAATGTGACTTAACAGAAGAGGAGTAAGCCCATGATTCTAATTTAATGTTCCTCTTTAACTTCTTAAGGTTGTGACATAAGAAGGAGATGGGATTCCCAACTGAAGATTTGGAAAAAGTTTCTAGAAGAATAGACTAGTATTTTCCAATGTCCATCCAGTATTTCTTAAAGAGAAATCTATGAGGAGTGTGGTGAACAATCCCAGAATGTAGAACAATGGGGCAATGATCTGAACATGATAGACTCTGGAAGGAGCAGTAAGAGGTAGGATAGGCAAGCGTCCAAGCATTATTTGTGAGCACCCTGTCTAGTTTGATGTGAATCGGGTTATCTGGTTATTGATTAAACCAGGTGTAAGTGCAGCCCACAGATTGAAGGTCCAGTAATCCGTTCTCAAAAATCATATAATTTTAGTCAACAAGGGATCTGTGAGATAAAGGCATACCCCCCAATTTCTCAGATTCATAGTGGATGCAAATGAATTCTCCCATGAGTATCCAAGGGACCTCTTTATTTGGAGCAATATGTTTAATTTGTGCCCAAAGCTCCTTCCAGTCATCAAAACTGTTAGAAGCATAAATAACCGTAAGATAAAAAGTATGGAAAGAGGTTGAAATGACATATTTGGAAATAAGCTTAGGAGTGATATAATCAGGGAGAAAGTTAAGCTTGTTTTGATTCCAATTGACCCAAATACGACCAGAAGATGATTGGTCGAAATTGTTGCAACTTTTTTCATTTAAGAAAATAGAATGAGATTTTTCAAAAAATGAGTTTTGAAAAGAGGCCGAGTGTATCCTGGTATCCAGAATGCACAACATATCTAGATTGAACGTTACGGACAAGCGCTTAGAGCAGAGAACTTTATCAGGACAATTGAATCCCCTGATATTCCAAGCCGCAATTGACGAAAAAACCATTACGCAATAGAGGAGGGAGGGGGTTTTCGGATTCCTTCCCCCTATCTATCTTTTTGGTCGAAACAACATCGGAACTTTGCTGCATAGAGGTATGTGCTTTATTGGATTTCAAAACCGTGTTAAGACTTAGTGAAATATCCGAAGTTGTGAGGTTTTCCTGCTGGTTTTGAAGCACTTTAAATTTGTTTGGTGAAATAACTCTAGAAGGTGATGTCACAAGTTTACTATGAGGAGCACTTGTAGATGAGGAAGAATCCTCAGCCCTAGGGGAGTTGAGATTTGGCACTAAATGTTGCTCATGACCAATAACATCAGTCTTTACAGTGGGAATGGTGGGTTATGTAACAGGAAGCAGAGAAGAGGAGAAATGCGTCGGAGGTGGAGAATGAGGTTAATATAGGAGGGGCTACCCAATGGAGTTCAAAACAATAGGGTTTTGACTAGCATCAGGGATAGGGATATTCAGGTCAGAAGAGGGGGGTAAGACATTCAAAGGAGGTTGAGAGATGACCATAGAAGTAGCGTTAATTCTAGTTTGAAAATTAGTGGTGTAATGATTTTTGGGGTTGCGGTTAAAGCTTCTGCCACGAGGGGGCTTGGACCTAACATTTTCATCGGGTTGCTTAACACTATCAATAGTTTTCGATTTTGAGAGGCATAGAGAAGAATAGTGAACCAGAGAGTGACAATGTTCACAGGGTGATGACCTCCATTCGTATTGGACCTTCAATCCGACCACATCTTCATCTAACGGTACCTGAATTTCCTCCGGATACGATGTCAGACTATCAATGAGCACACATACTCTAGCATAAGTGAGGCGAGATTTTTGAGCTATAAGAGTGTTTGCAGCTAGTGGGATCCCAACTTTACTGGCTATTCTTGATATCCCCTCAATATTCCAACAAGCTAAAGGGAGATCATGTATTTTCATCTAAATTGGAACAGAAGTGAAATTTTCTCGTTTCGGCTTGAATTTGGGGTACCATTTTTGTAGAACGAAAGGCTTATCAGGAAGAAACCAAAAACCTCTCGACCAGACCAAATCCAGGTCTTCCGAGTTGGGAAACCTAAAAAGAAAAAAACCGTCGCTTTAGTTTGGTTGTTCAATGTTTTAGAAAAAGTTTGTTTTAAAGTCATTGTGGAAAAAATGAAGTTTCACAAATAACATTTTATATAATGGAGTTATTACATAATATTGTTTGGTTAGATTGTTTTTTATGCGTTTATTCAAACTTTAAATAGATAATTAGTGTTTGATACAATTAACAATTTCAGTTTTTTCATCATAAATGACGAAACTATCCATATATTAAAGTCAAATATACTTAATTTTTAAGAAAGTTTTTTTCTATTATCATAAATTTTGATATTTAACAGTAAATGTAAGTACATTTAAAATGAACAACTTCTTTATTAATATAAATTAAATTTATAGTATTTTATCTCTTTATAACCTCACATATTCATTAAAAATAATAGTATCAAAAATTTGTGTTTGAACCTAAGTTGCTTATTAAAAAAATAATATGAATCCTTTTTTTTTCAGTTGAGCCATTTTTACACCCCAATTATTTTGGCAAGTTTCCCCCGCTCAATTTCTGCTACAATGTCTGCTTTAGATTTTTGAAATGGAGGTATTCTTGCCCGATCCTGTAATATACCGATCTTTTCTAAGTGGCCTATTTCTGAAGCATCATGGTGAAGAAGTCGAGCGATTGTGGGGATAATAAAGTAGACTTCTCGCAAGTGTAAAACGGAAACGGGTGTGAAAAGGAGTAGCAAAAAGCAGTGAAGTTTTGTCTCAAAACAATATTATTTACAACGTGCTTGAGAGAAGCAGTTTCACCAAACGATTGAAATTTATTTATTTTCCCCTTCTACAATGGAAAACGCCGAACCAAACCAAGCCTGAGGCCTCGTTTGATTAAGTTTATTTCCTCCGTTTCCGTTTGAATAAGCTTTAATCAGTTTGTCCTAACTGTTTGGAAGACAAGTTTAATCGTAATCAATTTTTAGTAAACCACGTATTTTGAGCGGTTACAAAATTTTTTCCCTGTCCGCTTCTTCGTTCAAAAAACACAATTTCGCTCACCAAATGTCCGAATTAACCCGGAGCGTTTTGTTTTGGCTTCGTTGAGCGACTCTACTGATCTGCAACCGTCTGGGTTTGTGGAAAGCGGAGGGAAGGAAAGAAAACTGGATTGTTTCGGAGAGGAGAACGAGAGGAAGACGAAAAAGAACCCGAGCAAGAAGATGAAAGACAGGTTTATGAAGAAATAATGGGCTTTGTAAAGGAAAGCAAGAGCCATTAAAGGAAGATGGGTTTCAGAGCTAATGGAGAACAAGAGATTCCAATAAAAAGTAGGGATTTGGGGGCATGGGTTTTGTAGAAAAAAGGAGAGGATTCGTTGATGGAAGAAAGGTAAAACCTTTGGTTTTGACGACGCGTTCTCCGCCATTCGAGCTCTCTGTCCCCTTTCTCTATCTTGGAGTGGTTTTTGCTTCTGGAAAAAGTAAATGGAGGAAGAAGACACCGAGTGGATTTCGATTTATTGGAAGGATGTGGTGGAAAGGACAGATGTTTGCATAATATGTCCTAATTTTTAATTTTAATGAGAATTCCGATCAGGGCATCAGGCCATTTCCAAAGGAGAAATGGAATGACAGTTGATCGCGCTTAATCCAAGATCAGTGGAAGAATGAATGATTGAACTGAGAGGGAAAATTGCATATGAACTATGCAATTAGAACATGTATAATGAATATGCGAACTATTTTTTTTTTTTTT